TCCTAATGATCAGCGTCCTACAAAGATGGTGACTTCTTTACTTGCCTGCTGGTGCCTGGACAGAAGTTTGAAGTGCCCAGATGGCAACTGTAGATGACAATCTGATGAAACTCTTGCTGGGTCTCCTAGTACCTCATTTGGGAATCAGAACTTTTAACTGTACAGAGGCCAGAGTTGTAGAGATGGAAAGCATAAAGTCCCCTCAATTAGTGATGGAAAGTGATGGTAGGTAGGGCTACTATGCCCTTTATTTTTTTATTCTTATGCACATATATTCTTTCTATTGGAGACACAATGCTGTGGAGAGGTCTTTGATTAAATTAATATGCTACACCTGAAGGATGGTACCCATCATTATATATTATTTGTGGGCTACCACTTTATGACTTTAGGAAGCCATTCAGTGCTCTATCAGGCTGGCAGTTTCTGGGTGCTGTGGTATATCAAAGGACCAGTGGATCCCATGGTCATAAGCCTACTTTACCACTTCTTTTGCTGTAATGTAAATCTCCTGGTCTGATTTGGTATTTGTGGAATCCTATGCCATTGGAGCAAGCACTCCTTACTTGGATAGTAGTGTTGGATTAGATTTAACTGGCAAGGAAGTCAAACCCATACATGGAACAAGTGTCTATTCCAATGAGAAAGAACCACTGGTCCTTCCAGGATCAAAGGATCCGATGTATTCAACTTGCCACCAAGTAGTCAATTTATGTCCTTGAAAATGGTACCGCTCTTCCTAAACCGGTGCTCAGCAAGGAGAAGGCCATGTTCAGCTCGAGCGCCAAGATCGTGAAGCCCAATGGCGAGAAGCCAGATGAGTTCGAGTCTGGCATCTCTCAGGCTCTCCTGGAGCTGGAGATGAATTCGGACCTTAAGGCGCAGCTCAGGGAGCTCAACATAACAGCGGCCAAGGAAATTGAAGTTGGTGGTGGTCGGAAAGCTATCATAATCTTTGTTCCCGTTCCTCAACTGAAGTCTTTCCAAAAAATCCAAGTCCGGCTAGTACGTGAATTGGAGAAAAAGTTCAGCGGGAAGCATGTTGTCTTTATTGCTCAGAGGAGAATTCTGCCTAAGCCAACTCGAAAAAGCCGCACAAAAAATAAGCAAAAGCGT